ACAGAGGAAAAGAGGCAAGTGTCCTGGGCCTACTTCAAGGAAGAGAGGTGCCCAGAGTCTACCTCAGGCCTGGAGAGCTTCTGGGAGCCAGTTTCCGTGGGGTGGCTCTGCTCATCCTATACCCCAGAGAGTCAGCCTAGTCCTGCCTCCCCTGCTGCTCAGTGCCTGCCCACTAGGCTCCCGACAGGGCAGTGCACAGCCTGTGCTGCAGGCGAGGAACCTAGGGTTCCAGGGGGCAAATGACCCCTCCCAGGACACACAGCTACAAAGCTCCCAACCTGGTACTGCCCCTTCTTCAGTAGTAAGACCTCTGAGGTCACTCTGGGGCAGTGGCTCTGAAAGGGGGCTCCTGAAACCCCCCACCCCCACCCTCTGCACGCTGTCCTCACCAGCATTACCCACCCAGTCAGTAGGTGTTTCACAAGCACAGGACAGAGCAGATAGGAAGAAAGGCTCGGCGACAGAGCAGAGAGTGGTGGTTATGCTCAAAGAAGTCAGTGGGTGCGAAGGCCACAGTAACGAAGGCCAAGTGCCCCTAGCATGGGAGGTGATTGTCCTGCTGGGCTCTATATCAGTGACAAACAGGAGCTGCGTTTGAAAGGTTAAAGAAATGGTGAGTTTGGCCTGAACATGAGGGCAGGGTGCGCATGTCTGGGGGCTTGCATTGGTTCTTGCTGGCTAGCGAATGTTTCCTGAACAAACAGCCCCCAGTCATCCTCAATAGGGAAGGAAGAATGGAAGAGAAACAAGGTTTTCTCTGCTGCCCCAGGAGGCCGAGCAGGCCCAATGGCTAGCAGCTTCCTGGAGTCTATTTCAGCCTGGTGTAAAGAGAAGGCTCAGGAAGCCTCTCTGGAAAGACAGAGATGACCTCACTGGCCAGAAGTGGGGGTGAGGGCACCATCTGAGGTCAGCTTGCCCTCGGGGACCTGGCCACTGCTCAGTGCTGCAGCTCCCTCCCCGCCACTGAGGAAGGCTAAAGGTGGGTCGGGTGCTCCATCCTTCAAGAAGTACCAGGGCCACTCCCTCAGCCTGCAGAAGCCCTCAACCTTCGCCATCCTCAGGGTCGAGACCCCCTAAGATCACCTGCTGACCTGGGAGAAGGCGTTCAGGTCCTGGTGCCCACCGCTGAGAACTTTGGTCTGTACCAGGTAATCGCGCGCACCCCCCGAGCCTGCGCTCACTTGGCAGCACCTCCCAACTTTGTTAATGGAAACCTGGTGATCCATAACCCGCGTACGGCAGACATCTGCTCGGGGGTAATGTGCTGGTAATGTACATATCGATGATCAATCAGCGGATTTGCAAGAGAGGCATAAAGTATTTAATTATAATTGCGTTGGGCAAGTCTGCGTGGTGGCGGCGACATTTGAATAGGTCACAGCCAGCCCTCACCCCTGTTATGTTGCTGGTATTAAATGCCATTCACTCCAAGGACTGGGAACCTTTCTGAAGTTGTAGGATATCACAGTCTGGCAAATTGAAAATGTCCCTTTGCTTTTAAAAACATGATTGATATCCTTTACAAACAAACGCTACCCCTCAGAGTACACACATTTCGTCGGGTGCCACCCTTGCCTGGCCCCGCCTCCGAGTCGTGCTTGGCTACCAATGTGTGCACAGTGGTGCTATTGAGAACCCTCCTTCCAAGGCCTCATCTCTCTCTCCAAGGCTGGGGCCTCCAGGGAGTGCCCTGTTTAGGGTAAAGGGCTTTTTTGGTTCCACATCAGGCTTTGCAAACCAGAACAAAATGCAGGAATAAAGCAAGGACCCAAAAGATGAAATGCAAATTTTATTTGCTCAGTTGGTAGCAGAAAAATATATCTTCAGACACTCTGTATACCATATACTTATGTATAGTGCCATCTGCCTCTTAGCACCATCTAAATCATATCTAGTATAATTTAAATGGAAACTTTTAGCACAAACGACAAAGGCATATAAATAACAGGAATGCAGATAGACACACGGCACACACCCACGGCACACACCCAAGCCAGCACCGAGGAAAGGGTAGGGGCCCAACCTGGGGGCCACATGCCTGCACTGAAGGGCCCCAGCCGCAGAAGAGGCTCAGCACCCATCTCCCAGGGCTGGTGTCCCAGTCAATGGGCAGCACACGCCTCCGGGCTCAGCACTGTGCCTGGCAGTCGGTGGGAGCTCTGTGAGTACTAGCCTGTTTCCCGGCAGAGTTCTGGAAAGGACAGTTGGCTTGCAAAGGAGAGGTGTCTATATTACAGGCCTCATTTCTGCTCCAGGAAAGGGCATTTGATGCTAGGCTTTCTCTCCTCCTTCTAGGCCAAAGTGTGGCCTTGTAGGCAGAGGCTGTGGTGGCAGGCCTAGCAGCGAGGCAGTGGACACCAGGCCACCGGTCTCATTGTGGCATTGAAGTCCTGGCATTGCACAGCATCTACCAGAAATACCTTCTTCCCTCTTCTCGAAACAATTAAAGCAACACGTTGAGTCTATTTACGGGGTAGGTGAGAGAGGGAATGCTTCGCCGTAATGAAGTGTCAAGTCCTCTGGATAGAAATGAAGCCAGGTCTAAGCGACTCTTGGACAATTTAGGTCTGTCTCGCTAGCCTGCCTGCCTTCATTCGCTCCCAGCCCTTGTCTTTTTTAAGAGAGCATGATAAAGCAAGCCTGTAATTCCCAATCGAGACAGCCAGCCTCGTTGGGTGTGTTTTTGCTGTTCACAAAATTCACCAATCGTTGTCACCTAGTGAATCGGATTAGGTGTAATCCATACTAATGTTCGAATTAAGTCATGGGAAGCAATTAACTTTGCAAAAATGGGCTGGTGAAAAATGATAAGGTTGGTCAAATAGTTTCACCGTGCATAATTGTGTTTTTTAAAATGCCCGTCTCTACACAGTAATTAAATCATTTACATTTCAAATGGAGTGTACCCACCTCGGATGCTTGTAATTGTGTATATCCTTAATTGTGCACCTCACGGTATAGCAGGAATTTTATCAACAGCCTGCTATCCGGTGTCTGCTTTTGCAGGAAGGCAGCTGGATGGAAGATACGGGTTTATTCCCTGCTCAGGAAAATCGAGAAAATTGGATTTTGCCCCCAATATCATCCCAAATTTGGTGCCTCCCTTTTCTCTCCTCCTTCTTTTCTTCCTGTTTAACAAGTGCAATGAATTTTTTAAACCATCATCAAAATAATCCACCAACAACACGAGATACATTTGTCACTTTTGATCACATGATCCATAACACGAACACTGTCATAAACCTCAGAGTAACTAATATTCATGGAATCAATTAATACGTATCTACCTTTACTGTGGACACTTTATTATTATTACTATTATTTTAACTAGCTAGAGAAGACGCTAACAGATTTCACTAACTGTACTGTGTGCACAAGCAGCTTTGGGATGTGGCAGTCTATGAACAAATTCTTCTTTTTTTTTTTTTGAGAAGTTTTTGCTATAGTGTGCGTGAGCTCGCCAGAAAGACAGAGAGAGACAGAGAGACAGAAAGTGAGAAATCACCCCCAGGGGGACGGCTGCGCCGCAATCCCTTCTCCTCCATTCTCCTCTCTGGATCTTGGGCACGCAAGCACACACGCCTGGCGTGAGTTTAAGCCACCGGGTCCGGGACATGAACTGTGGTCGACTACATGGGAGTTCAGCAATGTAGCTATTATGCTAACTGCTGGTCCCTGAACAAATTCTTAAATGACCCAGGAATGAAATATTATCTTGCCTCTAAAAAACATGACTCTATATTTTTATTCCTTGGAGCAGGAAAACTGGGTGAATCTACAACAAACCCTTAAGGAAAACTGGAATCCAATCTGTTTCCCCTGCAAAGGACTTTTTTTTTCCTGAATGAACAAAGTCCCATCACAATAAATATCTTCCACAAACTCCATTCTGCCTTCTGCTCCATCCCAGGGCTGGCGTCAGCACTGAGTGCCAGTCTCTGGAAGAAGTTTACAGGATGTAACACTGACCTCCCAGCTCCAGGTGGGCGGAAATTGTCCTTCCAGGGCAGGATCTAGCTGGAAGACCCGGACTGACTCTGCAGTGGGCACCTGGGCAGGCCGACAGCCTTAGCGCCCCCAGCCCCGTCTCACATTGTCCAAACGTGGAGGTTCATTTGCTGGGCCTCCCGTCGGGGACATCTACCCTCCTGCAGGTGACAGGGCGACTTGAACCCAGGGAATGGGTCGGGCGCCGAGAGGATGTAGTCGATGCTGAACTTGATGTCCCTGTGGGTCTCCTTCCCCCGGACGGTGGGGCTGGTAGGCGTCGGCGTCGGGGGCTGGCGGCTGGGGGCGCCCACGCCTGTGTGTTCTGGGATGGGGGACTCCAGCTCACCCGGCTCGAGCGGACCTGGAGGCCCTTCCGCGTCCCCCGCGCTCTGCCCCCTGGGTCCTTCGCGCTTGGTACCGCGCCGCCGGCGCCGCCGCCTGTAGTTGCCGTTCTCGAAGAGGTCCAGCAGCGACTCGCAGCCGCCCGCGAACGTCCAGTAGTTGCCCTTCCCGTGGCCCTCGGCCCGCGGCACCTGGGCGGTGTGACAACCCTCAGCGCCGCCGCCCCCGGGCGCGCTCCCCGCCCCGCTCCAGCCCTGTCTGGGCTCTGGGTCGGACCCTGAAAGGTGCCGCCGGCCCTTTGGGTGGGTGGTGGTGCTCACTGAGCAGATGGAGGCTGCCCCGTTTGCTAAGAACGAACTTTTCAGCGCCTGTGGCTGTGACATTCCCTCCCTGTCACCAGGAATGACCGGGCCCAGCTGTCGCCAAGCTAGAGACACTCGGGGTTCCATGGGGGCGGGGCGGGGAGCTCACCTTGACGAAGCAGCTGTTGAGGGACAGGTTGTGGCGGATGGAGTTCTGCCAGGCGCGCTGGTTCGCGCGGTAATAGGGGAACTTGCGCATGATGAAGTCGTAGATGCCCGACAGGGTGACCCTGCCCGCGGGGCTCTGCTGGATGGCCATGGCGATGAGCGCGATGTAGCTGCAAACCGGGCGTGTCAGGCCGCGCAGGGCGACGGGGACGGGCTCTGCGGGTGAGCCCTGTCCCGGCTGCCCGGGCCCCTCCTCCAGGGCGTCGTGGCGGGTCGGATGTGGAAAGCAGAAAGGGGTTGTTGGAGCTGGCCCCTCCACCCTTCCACCCAGACCCCAGAAGTTCTCCACTGCACTGGGGGTTCCTCCTCCACAGGGAGGCTGGAAGAACCTGCTCCCGCCACCCGCGACAGTGCGGGGCCAGGGCGACCCCTCTCCAATCCCCGCCCCTTCCAGGCAGGTCTGCTACCGAACCCTCTGAGAAAGGAGGGTCGCTGTCCCCCCTACACCTCCGCCACAGCCTCCCGAGGTCACCTGTACGCGGGCCGCGTGAGCCGCTTTTCCTCGTCGGAGCTGCCAGAAGGGTAGTCGTCGGTGTCGTAATTGAAGCAATTGTAAGGATACTGCGAGCTGTCAAACATCGTGGCGCCGGGCTATTACAGAAGCCACCCTTGCAGCTGCCACCTCCTCCACGCCGCCCGCCGGCCCGCCAGCTCTGTGCAGAGATTCTCCCTAGCGCGGGTCAGTAGCGTCTGCACTGCAGGCGACTTTCCGCCTGAGCAGGGAAACCTGGGCTTCTGGGGTCCCTCCACGGGCCCCCACCCCCTCCTCTAACGGGGGGGGGCCCCCAGCCATAGCTAAAGCAACCGAGGGGAGCAGAGGGAGGAGCGGGGCTTCTCGGTGACCCTCGACCAGCCACCGGAGGAGGGTGGAGGGGGCGGTGCAGCGCGCTGGGTGGTCCGACGGGAGGGGCAGCCCCCGGTGGTCTTGCTCTTTCCTGGGGCTCCTCGCTGCATTCCCTGCACTGGCTCCAGAGATCAGGGCAGGGCAAAATTGGGGCTCCTCGCAGGTTGACGGCAGTGTTTTTGAAGCTCCCTGGTCCCATGCGTCTCCTGCGAGCCCTGAGACACGGAGGCCCTCCCCAGGCGTTCAGAACCCCGGGGTAGACACTTGGACTCTCCCCAGAGAGCCCAGGACCAGGCCGCAGAGAGCTGGGCTGTGGCCTCCTTAGGCCACTGTTCGGAGCCCTATCCCTTCCGGCCCCAGAGTAGCCGGGTCTAGGGCGATCTGTGGGACCCAGCGGATGTCTCTCCGCCTCAAGCACTAGCACCTAACCAGGCCAGAGACCCAAGGCCCAATATTTCCTCTAGCACTCTCTGCCTCGCTCTGCTTGCTCTGCCAAAGGAGCTTGCTGTCAGGGGAGGTGGACTCTCCATCAGCTTCTGTCTCCAAAGCTGCGCTTCTGTGAGTGGATAGGTGCAGGCAGAGAGAGAAGCTATGTGCTGGGAAATTCTAAGAAAATGGAGAGAGAAGGGATTTGGGAGAGAAGGGGTTGTTTCACAGCGGACATGCCACTGAATGGTATTTTCATGAACAATCTGTAGAATTCTGTCCTTGAACCATGGCTATGCGTCTGCCTATGGCCAGAAAATTTCCCCTTCAAAGCAGTACCTTGATTGCCTTATGCAATAAAAAGCTTTCTCAGCCCAGCCCAGTGGGTTGGCCCCAGAAGTCCATGTTCTTGGTAAAGAAGGTTGTGGAAGGAGAAACCTGGGCATGCCAGGTGTCCTCGGAACACCAGGGGGTGTCTATCTGTCTTCTGCTCAGTATCCTAGTCCCACCCTGGCTCAGACACCTTCAGTAGATCTGTATTGTCTTCTACATCAGATATTACAATTTTAAAATGTTGAAATGTGGAAAGGAAAAATGGGACAACTCCTCTAAAAATGTTTGACACCGGCCAGTCGGTGCTGTGGTGGTTAAGGCAGCTGGTCTCATATGGCCCACAATGCAGCTGGAGTCTCCAGCCTGGCAGCTTGAAAAATATGCCAGGCATGGGAGTGCGTGTGCGCATGCCCAAGTCCTGCAAAGGGAGAAATGGAGAAGGGCTTTGGGCATGACCACTCTCCATTAGGGGAGGAAGGGTTGCTGTCTCACTTTCCCCTCTCTTACTCTCTAGTGAGTGCATCTGACTCCTGGTGAAAAAATTAGATAAAAGTTTGGAATACAGCTACCGTATGATCCAGCAATTATATTCATGGGCATTTATCTTGGAGTATATCTCAGGTTATGTTCACACAAAAGTCTGTATATTCATGTTCATAGCAGTTTTATTTGTAAAGCCCCCAAACTGCAAATAACACAAATGTCTCTGAGCAGGTGAATGCTCCAACAAACTGGTACATCACCACGGGACACTACTCAGCAGTCAAAAGGAGTGAACTAGGGACATAGGCAACAACCTGGTGGCGTCTCCAATTGAGTGGAAAAGGTCCATTTCAAAGGTTACATACTATATGATTCCACTTACACGATACTCACGAGGGCCAAGGCAGAAGCTGCAGCGTCTTCTAAGACTGTGCTAAGGTGATCACACAGTACCTCCTCCCCACAGTCCCATGCTCACCCAGATGCAAGGGGAGAGAGTGCACACTGTCTCCCAGAGGGAGAAGTATAAGGTCACATCGTGAGAAGACCAGGTGGGATGGGTGGTGCTGGGCAGCCACTTTGGAAAGTGCAATCTGTCACAGAGGTCTAAGGGGATAATGGGACCAGATAGGAAGGGAGAGAGCTAACAATGCCAACCCTTGTGAGCTATTAGGGAAATGTAAATTAGAACCACAATGAGCCACCTCCACACATATATTAGAATGGCTAAAAAGAGAATAAGACAAATGTGATGGCTAATCTTAAGTGTCAACTTGGCTGGGACACAGTGCTCAGATATTTGATCGGCCATCATGCTAAAGTTTCTGTGAAGATGTCTTTTGTATGAGATTAGCATTCCCATCAGTGGACTTTGAGTGAAACACATCACCCTTCATAATGTGGGTGGGACTTATCTAGTGGTCAAAGGCCTGAAAAGAACAAAGACTTCCCCCAAGCCGGAAGGAATTCTGCCAGGAGATGACTTTTGGATTTTTCTCGTATCTCTGGCCTACCAATTTACCCAGGCAGATTTTGTCGAGCCTCATGATCACGTGAACTGATTCTTTAAAATGTACTCACCTCCCAATACAGCCTGTTAATTCTGTTTTTCTAAAGAACCCCGATTAAGGGGCCAGCAGAGGGCATAATGGTTACATCACTGGACTCGCCAACCCTTGTGAGCTATTAGGGAAATGTAAATTAGAACCACAATGAGCCACCTCCACACATATATTAGAATGGCTAAAAAGAGAATAAGACAAATGTGATGGCTAATCTTAAGTGTCAACTTGGCTGGGACACAGTGCTCAGATATTTGATCGGCCATCATGCTAAAGTTTCTGTGAAGATGTCTTTTGTATGAGATTAGCATTCCCATCAGTGGACTTTGAGTGAAACACATCACCCTTCATAATGTGGGTGGGACTTATCTAGTGGTCAAAGGCCTGAAAAGAACAAAGACTTCCCCCAAGCCGGAAGGAATTCTGCCAGGAGATGACTTTTGGATTTTTCTCGTATCTCTGGCCTACCAATTTACCCAGGCAGATTTTGTCGAGCCTCATGATCACGTGAACTGATTCTTTAAAATGTACTCACCTCCCAATACAGCCTGTTAATTCTGTTTTTCTAAAGAACCCCGATTAAGGGGCCAGCAGAGGGCATAATGGTTACATCACTGGACTCCCACATGGTTGACTGCGATTTGAGTCCCAAATCCAACAGCTTCAACATCATGCCAGGTGCGTGTGTGTGTGCCCAAAATCCTGAGAGGAGACCGTGAAGGGAGTATGGTGTTAGCCTTCCTCCCAGGAGGTGATTTCTCATCTTGTGTCTCTCTGGCGAGTGCATGTACCCTGTAGCAAAAATTTTTCTTAAAAAAAGAAGAAAGAGAGAAAAAAGAAAGAAGAAAAGAGAAAGAATGAACCCTAATGAATACAACACCCAGACAAAAAATCACCTGCCAATACCAAGTGCTGGAGAGGATACAAAGGAACTAAAATTCTCATTAATTGCTGGCAAGGATGCAAAATGGTACAGCCACTTTGTAATATAGTTTGGCACTCTTTTATAAAGTTACACATACATTTATCAAATAACCCAGTCATCCTAGTCAGGTATTTGCTAAATAAAATGCAAGCCTGTATTTATACAAAAACATGAATGTGAATTTATGTGTTTATAGTGGCATTATTTGGTATCATTAAAAACTGGAAACAGGGACCAGCAGTTAGAGTAATGGCTATGTCGTTGGACTCCCATGTAGTCGACCGCGGCTCAAGTCCTGGACCCGGTGGCTTAAATTCACACCTGGTGCGTGTGTGTGTGTGTGCTCAAGATCCCAGGAGGAGAATTGAGGAGAAGGGATTGCTGCGTGGCCATCCCCCCCTCCCCGGGGGGGTGGTGGTAACTTCTTGCTTTCTATCTCTCTGTCTTTCTGGCGAGCGCATGTACCCTATAGTGAAAACCTCTCAAAAACAAAACAAAACAAAACCTGGAAACAATCCAAATGTTCTGGAAAGCAGGTAAATTGTGGTACATCTACACAATGGAATACTTCTTGGTGCCAAAAAGAAAAAAACCTCTGAGGCATACAAGAAAGAATCTCAGATGCATTGTTCCGAGTAAAAGAAACTTGATTCAAAAAGGTACAAACTGTGTAATTCCATTTATATGACATTATGGAAGGGAAGACCATAGGAACAAAAAAATATATCAGTGGTTACTAGGGCTAGGGTGGAAAGATATTTTGGGGTATGGAATTGCTCTTGGCTGTGCTAGTGACTAAATGCATTCTTCAAAACTTTCTTTGCTGTGTACTAAAAAAGCATGGGTTTTACAGTGGCCAAGTTATATCTTATTTTTGAAAACCCACTGAAGATCTTGGAGATGGAAAAAAAAAGTCGCTACATTAAATAAATAAATTAGACTAGATACTATTGAAGATAGAAGTGGGAAATTGGAGTATAATACTGAAGAGCAAAGCACCAAGAACCAGAGGTACAAAAACAGTAGAAAAGCAGTTAAGGGACAAGAAGAATGGGCTGAGAGGCTATAACGTGTGTCACAAATCTGAAAATAACAAAGGACATGGCAAAAAACAAACAAACAAAACAATGTCAGAGATGTTTTATATCACTCCCCTTATCTGACAGCAATGCTGGAGATGGTATCTATATAAAATGATCTTTTTCTCTTTTAAAAAAGCATTTTTTTATTTTTGCACGTTGTGAAAGCAGTCAAGATGGGGTTTTGAGTGTTTACTTTGACACTACACATGTGCTCTCCATGCCTCAGAAGGAAGGATCAACAGTCAACTCAAACAGTTGCTGACTACCTCTGAGGACCAGGATTGTAAACACCCAGCAGAGACAAGAGTGGTAGCAGCTGTAGGGAACAGAGTCTTGGTCTGTCCTTTGTGTCATCACCCAAAACCAAAGCCTGAAGGAGAGTCCTCTGACTCTGAAAGGGTGCTGAAAAGCCTACGACAGTGACCACTGCCCAGAGATGAGCATGTGTAACAATTGCCAAGGCCCCTGCATGGTTCTGCAGGACTATGGGAACTCCTTGGGCTTATGTGTGATGCTTCCTGCAGTGGTCTGAAGAGTGCTATCCTGCCAGGCTTGGGGAGCC